GATTAAGATTTATAATTATGATTCTCCTATCATCTTTGTTTGATTTGTTTTTAACTGTTTTGAATCATCATATAATACATAAAGTAAAAAAAAAAATCAATTTTTTTCTGCATATACTGTGATTCGAAATTTTAAAAACGGACATATATTATCTAATTGACGAAAATGTGTGTTCAACGTTCTACATCGATTAAAATATTTAGACAATGATTCAGAATCATATCATAAATAAGAACATTAATAAAATAAATGAGTTTTTTGGCGGGATGAGTTTGGCGGGACGGGTTTTTGAATCAACAATAATAAAAAGATTAAAATATCATTAATCCGCCGCTTCAATACGGATTTAATCCTTATTTTTTTTAATACAAATCACAGGACGGGTTAAGAAATTACGGAACGGGTTATATTTCGGAAATGATTTATATGGCGGACGAATTTGAATCAATATTTATATACCGCTTTAATACGGGTTAAATCCTCAGTTTATTAATAATTATCTCGTGGACTCGTGGTATACCGTTACTTAATAACAATTGTAAACTATATAATATAAATAAATATGTTATAAGGAGATATAATTTACAAAATATTTTTATACTAACTTTAAAATTAAATCATCCTGCGGTGTACCGCGGGTTAAAATCTAGTTACTCCTATTATAGTAGTATCTAAAAGTTTATGGAACTTCGTTAAACAGATATACAGACACACAGAAGAAACAAACCTCAGAACTTGTATTAATCCACCGCAGGTATAATCTTCTCTACCTAAGATTAGTCCGTTGTGGCGTAAAAAAATTCAATTTTGGATTCCCAAAACGTGATTATAAAAATGTGATATAACTTGATAAATACACGGGCTTGGGGATTGGAATTAAACTGGGCCTTGTTTGGTTCATCACTCTCTCATATGAATAATAACTGTGATAAATAATTATTAAGTAGGTTATTAAAATATGTTGTTATTGGGTAGTAATGGGAACGAGTTGGTCTGCCATGAAACTCGTTTGTCCTTTTTTTTTTTTTGGACTGAATGATTCATTAGATTAACTTGCAAAGAGTTCAAGAACAGATACAAAATGGAACAAAAGCAATCATGCAACAGAACATCATTACAAAGTAATGCATTTATCATTTTCGAAAACTTTCTGAAGCCAAAAAGGGTAACCTTGAGCTACATATGATTGCAATCGTTCCTCTCTTGTAACACTTCTAGCAATCAAATAGGCACCAAGATTAGCTTTCCTGTCCTCGTTAGAAACCCGCCAGAACTGAATAAAAGAGAGAGCCAAAAGGAGGCTTTCAGCCTGAGATTTAAAGCTAGGCCAAGCTGAGGGTCTGTTAATCACTCCAACAAATTCCTTAGGCTCAAAAGCAAAGATCACTCTAGGAATATGGAGATTCTGCATATCTTTAATAGCCCATAAGCAAGAAAGAAGCTCAGCCTCACCTTTTGAATTAATTTGGACTAAGGCAGACCTGCTGTGAAGTAATACATTACCAAGAGAATTCCTTAAAACCCAAGCCATACCACATGTGCTTTTTCCTTTATTCCAAACAGCAGCCACATTGCACTTTAGCCATGGTTTCTCAGGAGGACGCCAACTGCAATGTCTATTAAGAGGCTGGACACGATCAAGAACACAATCAGACTGCTCTAATTCCTGGGCAAGAAACCATTCCTCAGAATCCTCTAAAATCTTCTTCAAAAGGTCAGGAGTAGTGAAAGCCAAACCATCAAAGAAGAGGTTGTTTCTGTTCTTCCACAAAGACCAAAGAATCCAGGGAGGAGTTCTTCTCAAAACCAGCGGGACCTTTGTGTTCTTACACATCACAAGAACATGGTGCATATTTTGGAAAGTAGACCGAAGGTCAAAACCATCTTGAGGCAATGGAAACCCAGATAATGCCCAAATCTGTCTAGCCAACATGCAAGTGAAAAGAACATGGTTAATTGATTCACCTTCCACTCCACAAAATTGGCAACGCTGATCCACTTTCATTCCTCTAGTACTTAGCCGTTCAGCCACAGGAAGAGCACCGCAAAAAGCCTTCCACATAAAGATCTTAATCTTAGAAGGAGCCAAAACCTTCAAGATTTGTTCTTTGATCCCATTTAGGGAAGGGAGCATAGAGGCCAACCTGATAGCATCTTCATTCATAACCTGAGCAGCCAACCAGTAGCCAGATCTAACAAAATACTCACCACTTTTGTTGTGCCTCCAGCACATAAAGTCAGGTGAAGAGACAACTGGTTTGGTTCTCTGGATGATCTCAACATCCCGCGGGAAGAAAAGAACATTAAGCAAATCCGGATCCCAGTCTCTCCGATCAAAATCAATTAAGTCTTTCACAGATAATTCCAGATCAATCAAGATACTCTTCATAAATGGAGCTCTCATACCACCATCCTCCAGCCAAAGAGTAGACCACACCTTAAGAGATTCTCCATTACCAACCTTTTGCTTTAAACCTTTTTCCAGAAGAACTCTGTCATGCAAGACGCTTCTCCAAGCAAAGGAAGGACGAGAACCCAACACAACCCCCAAGAAAAGACTGTCACAAAAATAACGACTCTTGAAAAATAGAGAGAAAAGGCAATCAGGAGACTGAAGCAATCTCCAAGCCTGTTTAGCAAGAAGAGCTTGATTGAACAGTTCAATGTCTTTAAAGCCCAAACCTCCCAAATTTTTGGGTAAGCAAAGCCTCTCCCAGGCCACCCAACTAATTTTCCTCTGATTCTCCATAGAACTCCACCAGAAGGACGACATCGCACTAGATAAGGATTCACAAGTGGCTTTGGGGAGTTTAAAACAGGACATAGCATAGACGGGCATAGCCATAGCCACAGTTTTCAAGAGAATTTCTTTACCACCTTGTGAAAGCGTCTTTGCAAACCATCCAGAGAGTCTATTCTTCAGTTTCTCGTGAATGTAAGCCAACCTATCTTTTTTGGAGCCACTAAAACACTCTAGTAACCCCAAGTAAGTGCCAGCCCCACCTTCACTCTGGATTCCCAACTTGTTCTTTATCAACACCTTGACAGAATCCTCAATCTTATCCCCAAAAGTAATTGAAGACTTCTCCAAATTGATGGACTGTCCTGTGGCAATCCCATAGATAGACAGAATATTTTGAAGTTCACCACATTGGTCCTCATTAGCCTTGCAAACAAACAAACTGTCATCAGCAAAGAGCAAATGATGAATAGAAGGACCCTCCGGAGAAAATCTCATGCCACTAATCTGACCCTGAATCTCAGCTCTGTTTAAGAGATGTGAAAGACCTTCAGTACAGAGAACAAAAAGGAATGGAGAAAGAGGGTCACCCTGTCTCAGACCACGATGAGGAGATACTAAGCCATGCGGGTGTCCATTCACTAAAACCGTATAGGTGACAGTGGTCACACATTTCATCACAAGCTCCACCCAATTCTGATTAAACCCCAAGGCGAGAAGAAGATGATGAAGGTAACTCCATTCCACACGATCAAAAGCCTTTGATAAATCTGTTTTTATGGCCATAAATTCCTTAGGCATATTCCCATGAGTTCCCAGAGCATGAACTATCTCGTGAGCAATAAGAATATTGTCAGAAATAAGACGATATGCCACAAAAGCGGATTGAGTAGGTGAAACAAGATCTTCTAGAATAGGCTTCAATCTTGAGACAAGAATCTTAGAAATTACCTTGTACATCTCAGAGCAGAGACTAATCTGAGTAAAGGTCCACTCTGAGCAGAGACTAATAGGCCGCAGATCAGCCATCACTGAAGAGTTAGTCTTCTTAGGAATAAGACAAATCTGAGTAAAGTTCCACTCTGTCTCAAAAATACCCTCCTCAAAGAACCTAAGAACCTTAATAGTCAGCTGCTTCCCTACAATATCCCAATATTGTTGAAAGAATAGTCCGGTCATACCATCAGCACCAGGAGAGCTAGAGGACTTAATAGAGAAAACAACATCCTTAACTTCTTCTTTAGAAACCTTAGCCATAAGACCATCGTTCATATCATCTGTGACTCGTGGATGGAATTCTTCAAAAAGCTCATGAGGATTGGGAGGATAAGATGAAGAAAAGAGATCCTGGAAATAGGAGATAGCCACATCACCAATAGAAGCCTCAGAACGATGAGTAATCCCTTGATCATCAATTAATTTATCCAAACTATTTCTAGACCTGTCAGCCTTAACAGACGCATGAAAGTATTTGGAGTTCTTGTCACCTGAATTCATCCACTTTTTTCTACACTTCTGTTTCCAAAAACTTTCTTCCTCACGGTGAGCTCTAACCAATTCACTTTGGAGCCAAGCCATTCTCTAAAAGGAGGGGAAAAGAACCGCATGTTCAGCTTCCACTTCAAGCTGAATACGACTTATCTTCTCCTTAGCATTAGTTTCATTGACCCTTTTCCAATTACTAAGAGCCTTTCTACACCTTCTCAAGCTCTCAGAAATAGACTGACCAAAAATAGAGGAAGAAGCAAGCCAAGCTTCTTTAATCGACTCAAGGACCCGCGGCTGGTGAAGCATTCTTCGATCAAATCTGAAGGAGCCTCTATAGGTATCCTGAGAAGAAATAAGATGAAGTAAAACTGGTCTGTGATCCGAACCCTTCTTCTCCAAAAACAGTTGGTTACTAGCTGGGAATAACTTGAACCATTCCTTGTTCCCAAAAGACCTATCAAGCTTGCACTGAATCCATAAACCACTTCCTCTTCCACCCCAGGTAAAGCTATTACCCTTCCCAGGCAGCTCATTCATGTCACAAGCAGATAGCATATTACCAAAATCTTCAAAAGTCTTTTCACTCCTTCTGGGACCCCCAAGCTTTTCACCATTATGTAGGATTTCATTGAAATCACCAAACATACACCAAGGTTCATTTCTTTGAAGCCCAAGTCTGGTAACTCTTTCCCATACCAAATGTCTGAGGTCACTTCTCGGATTACCATATATACAAGAGAGGTAAAACTTATAATTACCAAAAACTCACTACAAGAAATTTGGTCATTGGTAGCATATCATTGTAGCACTAATTCACTAACTGCTACTAAAAGTGACAAAATCGGATGGCAACTATATTGTAGCATTAAGTTAGCGCTGGGAAAGAATTTCATTAAGCAGGAACCCAAAAATCACTACTGTAGCAGAGAAAATCATTTTAGAGGCAAAACACTTAGCCAAAACTTTGTTTTTCCGCAACTCTCACAAAAGCAAACACTTAGGTCATTTTTTTCTGAAAATCTAAACCTTCGCTGACACCACGAATCCGGTTTCCAGTCACCAGAAAACCCAATTCCGGTCATTCCTCAACCTTCGTCGCCTCGATTCACTCGATTTCCAGTCATTTATCAACCTTCGACGCCTCGATTTACCTCTGGTTTCGAAAAGGAAATCAACTCTTTAGTTGGTGTCGTCTGCGTCGTCGCTGAGTTGGTGTCGTCTCCGTAGCTCTATTCCACCTGCAATATCGAAGAAGAAACCCACAACAGGTAATCAACTCTAGATCTGAAGTAATGAACTCTAGATCTAATCGTCATTCTCATTGTCCTAATTCGATTTCTCTAATTACTTTCCATTAACTCTCATTGTAGCAAGAATCGAAGCACTAGAGAAATCTTTGAGGACCTAACACGAATATAAGCAAGAGAATCAATCTCCTTTAATTTACAATCTTCAGGTTATGGCTCTTAAATTCGTTTGAAATCTGGTTTTGTTTTTTGTTTTCTGCAATAGAAATCGAGACATACATTCAGAAGACAATCTTCAGATAAGGGTTCTTAGCTTCAGCTATTAGTTTGCAGGTTGGATCTTTTTGCTGGGGTGAAGACGACAAAAACTCATAAAACCAATCTTCATAAGCTTAAAGCAGCTTGCTTGTTTGCAGGTTCTTTGTTTCTGACTTTGAAATTTTTGATTGGTTTAATACAAGATTAACTCTCTCTGATCTCTATTTCTCACATTTTCTCTTAGATTTTATGATCCGATTTTGCATCTAATTTGAAAACCCACTTGATTTGTGTCTCTGATACATGAGATTTTGTTTGTTTGCTATGTCTAAATCAAAGAGAATTGCTAAAATCTCTGGATCTTTTCAGTCCTTTGAAACGAAATGGGTTTGTCATAAATTTTCAAACTTTCAGAAAATAGAATCTGCTTTGATTTATAATGTTGGAATTTGGTTTGAATTGTTGTGAAGGTACTTAACATGGGATGATTATTTCATGGCGATTGCTTTCCTTTCTGCAGAACGATCCAAGGATCCTAACAGGCACGTAATTTTGTTGATGATATAGTTTTCTATCTTTATGTTCTTCCGTGGAAGCTGCTCAAATGTTATGGTTCTGCAGGTTGGTGCGTGTTTGGTGAGCCAAAATGGTGTCATTCTGGGTAAGATAATATGATCACACTTGTCTTTTGATCTGTTTTGAACAATATCAAGTGTGGTTGTATAGTTTATTTCATGTTCTCACTTAGCTGGTACATTTAAACAACGACTCAAAAAATTTCATCTTTCATTTAGGGATTGGCTATAATGGTTTTCCAAGAGGCTGCTCTGATGACAAACTTCCTTGGGCCAAGGTATTACGTTCATTTGATATCCAAGAATGTCTACACAAGTTGTCTACGAAAACTCATTAAAAGTATGTTCATTGTAGTCACTACTACAAGGGGTTATTAATAAAGAAATGAATCTCTAGATATAAGAGGCAAGCAACTTTCTCCCCTAGATTTATTTTGGATCATTTTCTCTTAATTTGCTCCCACCGATTTTGCAGAAATCAAGAACTGGGGACCCATTAGAGACCAAGTATCCGTAAGTACTTGATCAGCTTAGCCGGCTATGTTTGAGAACTTGATCAGTTTAAACATGACTTTATGTTTTGTTTATGACTTGGTTTGATGTATGTTTACATGTTCCTTTTAGAGTTCATGATTTAAATATGTACACTTTGTATGCTTTGGATCTTAAATGGAAAAGCATTGGTCTTTTATGATTTTTTGTTTCACAATAGATTTTATAAATCCCAGAATTTATTATCGCGATCGAATAGGTGCACAATTTTGGCAGCCATAACTGTAACGAAACAATTTACAACGACATTTTAATTGTGTCATAATAAAATATTTCATGGCACTAATACAAAGCCATGAAAGAGTACAAAATAGCACGAAACAAGTGCTAGAAAAAACTATCCTATAGCATAAGACTATCGCTATAATAGGTTCATCTTCTGTAGCATTCCGAAAAATGCTATCATATGGGGTGAGGCTATTATAGCTCCTCATGTCATAGCGTTCATGAAAACGCTACCAAATCGATATAGTAGCATTTTCAGTGTACTACCAATGACCAAATTTCTTGTAGTGACCACTGCCACATCCAATACATTCTTATCCGCCGCCAGAACATCCAAAGAGACACTCTTTTTGCTGAACAGAGCCAACCCACCACTTCTTCCTATTGGATCAACAGTAAAAACTTTGTCATAACCTAACCATACTTGAATATCTACAAGAACGTTCCTAATATTCATAGTCTCCATCAAGAACAAGATTTCAGGAAAATGTTTTTTACGCATCTCCATGAGACGATGAACTGTCAAATCTTGAGACCGCCCCAACCCTTGACAGTTCCAGCACATCATGCTCATTGGATGTTGGACAGTCCCTCATTTAGGACCGCCGATGGTTTTTTGCGCCTTGCGACTTTATGAGCAGACCCAGCCTCCATTACTCCCTTCCTTTTCTCCATTACTCCTTCAGACAGACCTTCTTTCTTTGAACAACTGATACCAAAATATTGAGACCCTATACCCTTCCCAGCTCTTTTAGAAATATAGGGTCTCCTTCTAACCTTTGACCTTCTTTGAGTAGTCCCGGATGTACCCGCATTAAAAAATCCAGGTACATATTCCGTTGAACTAGGCATTGAAGAGAAAGAATCCTCAGAATAAGCCACAAGAGCAGCAGGTTTAACTCCCGCATCCTGAGAATTGAACCTCCTGGGAGACTGAGCCAAATTGAAGACAGAATTCTCAGTCCCATAATCAGGAACCACCACAGAGTCTGAAGAATCATAACCAAAAACAATCCCTTTACCCTTATTGAAGTCAGTAGAAACAAGAGGAGCAGGTTCCAAACGCAAGACAGTTTTTTGAGATATGGGATCCTTCTCCACCTCAGCCACAGATTTCTTAACTCTTAGTTCCCTTATCTTACGCTCTTGGCCATCCACCACCAAGAGATACTGACGCATCCCTTCTAAGACTTCAGGGTCAATCCTCGGGCGGCCTAGAATGGGATGAATACCTACTTGATCCTCTCTTAATACTCCAAACAGTGGATTACTTTCCTTAATAACCAATTGAGGAGCCTTCACAACTTTCTTGCCCAACTTTCTCTCCAAAGTTTGTTCTTGACGCTCACGAATCAGGAGAGGACACATATCCTTTTCATGAGAAAGTCTCTGACAATGATAGCACCTCTTTTGAATTCTTTCGTAATGGTACCAAACAGTTGTAGTCTTGCCTTTGGGAAGATTGATGACTTTTGATTTGCGAAGCGGGCGCGAGACATCAAACTTAATCTGACACGAACAAAACCCTGGCTAATTGGTTGTTCAGGATCAAAAATAACTTCAGTCACCTGGCCCACTAGCTCTCCCAGAAGCATGATGGAATCACGAGTGTAATGGTTGATAGGAGTATCACTAATCTGAACCCATGTCGAAATGAATTGCAGGGAGTCCGGAGGAGGATCCTCTGTCCATCTCTCTAACGCAATCGACCATTCGTTGAAAGTGTGAGCTCCTTTCTCAAGGATTTCCACCAAATCATGTTCAGTTCTGAAGATAAACTGAAACCTCTCATTTGACAGAGCCACACCTCGAATTCTATCACTCTTTTGCCACTTCCTTGGTAAATTCAGAATTAAATTTGACATACTCTGATGGTCAGGATTGAGCAGACGACCAACCAAACTAAGAGTATTCTTTTCACAAGATCTAAATTGAGGCAAATCCGGCATATCAAAAGGTAGATCTTCTTCATCAAGAGACAAAGCCATTAGAGCTTTATCCATAGCCGCCGACATTGTAACCGAAACCTGAAGAAAAACAACAACAGCGACCCAATCAACCAATTCCTACCAACAGAGTTCAGCAGCCTGACCAAAGAAGAAGTCGACGAACAGAAACCAAAACAAACAGACCGAACCGGAGAAGCAGACCAAGAAGTCGACAAACTGACTGTCGACAAACTGAAATCAGCAACCCAACAAAACGGAAAAAGCCGACCAACTGAGACCACCACCAACTGAACCAGAAGACGAAGATCTGCGAAACACCCGGCGGAGACAACAACACCAACCCGAGAAAATGCGGAAGCCTGGAGATTATTTGGAATTTGTGAACAGTAATCGCAAGAGATAGCGGCAGAAACCCTAATCTTGAAGACGATTTGAGCAAATAGTTTAACCAAATGAGGGAAAACGGTGAGATTTGAGACAAAGGGAAAGTGAATTCCAGCCAAAAGATCTCTCTTCTATTAGAACAAAGACTCTATTAGAAGAAGAAGGTTCTAAGCCCAAAAGAGGGGAGCGTTTTTGTTTTGTGTGCTACCTACTTGAAAACTCGTTTGTCCAGAAGAGATTTTACTTTTTATGTTTTATTTTTTCTTCAAAAATATTTTATATCTGACTAAAAGTTTATACTGGTTCTAATAGTTTGATGTTTTAGAGTTTTCAGGCATATTAAGAATTTAATCATTGTTTAATTATTTAAATATTAATTTTAATATTATATATTTTAAAATAATTATCAACCAGTAGTAATTTAAGAAAGTTAATTATTTTCAATCATTACGCCTTGAAGTTTACGATTTATTATTAAATTGGATATAAAGAATAAATAATTAAACTATTGTCCATCTATGCATTCTATATTCCTAATTGATCATATATGTTTTAATATTGGTCATATATGCTTTGATATAATTAAAATCCTATTTTATCTCTAGTTTTTTTTTTTAAATCTTGTTAAACTATAAAATTCCAAAATTAAGTAGATTTCTTTCTAAAAATGATTTGGAGAAAATATAGGACAAAAATAACATTTAATTACTTTCTAATTTTTTTTATCGCAGATAATTCCATATCTTCTTCCGCTCTAATTCTTTTTTTACGGCATCTTCATCTTCGATTTTTTTTACGGCAACTTCTTCTTCGATTTTCTCTTTTGGGACTGTCCATGGATATGTTGGACGATGTCAACATATACATACACGTCAAAAGCCTTTAGTTGATCTATGGGATCTGCTCCTGTATTCATTGACCGAATGACAATGTATGAACCTCCATAGCTAGATTCTAATATAATAAAAATTTAGTGAGAAACAGACACACATTGATTTATGCAACTTTTTTATTTGTCAATTTACTTTTATGTTAGTCACTTTCAAATATTATGCCTATAGTAAGTCAAAATTTTCTACAAATGTGGTACTTTGTTAGTTTATTATTGAGTTTGGTCATATTACGTATTTTATATTTTGTATTTGTCAATTTACTTTTATGTTAGTCACGTTTCACTCATGTTACGTATTTTCCACGAAAAAGTTGTGTAATTTCATAATCTTAATTTTTTTATATTTGATTTCCTTATTTTATAATTTATTTTCCTTTAAAAAAAATTCTAAATTACATAGAATTTGATTTCTATTTTTTATAGAATATATAGAAAATATAAGAATGTGTTTTCTAATAATTTTAGAACATGGGTAAATGTTATAAAATATATTCTAATATTTTTAGAAGAAAGAGCAAAGTATAGAATATGTATTCTAAATTTCGTAGAAATTAGCATTCTAAATACCGTAAAACAGAAATGCGTTCTAAATTTTCTAGAACATGTAGACTGCATAGAATACATTATCTAAATTTTATAGAACATGTAAAATGTATAGAATACACATTCTAAATTCAGAAGGCGTAGTCTAAACTTCGTAGATCATATTTTATTCATCCAAAACAGTAACAAAAACAATATATTTTCGATTTTATAAGTATCCTCATGACTTTTTTTTATCATTTTTCTACAAACTGTTCTGAATTTTATTTGAAAAATTGGTTAAATCAATTACAAAGGGTAGATTAGGAATATGTGATATTTGAATATAGAATGCACAGATGGACAATAGTTTAATTATTTGTCCTTTATATCCAATTTTCCCTAAATAAAAAAAGGCTAGAAAATCAATCTTTGTAGAACAAATAACAAAAACTAGAACATCAATCTTCTAAGAACGGAGGGAGTATTAGAAACAAACGGAACAAAATTCAGCAGAAACCATATATTCTCAGTGGTTTGCTTTAGGCCTCCAAAACATTCGGGCCAACACTCGTCTGATGCTTTATTATAACTGTCTTTTTGTTAGTTTGTCTTATTGCTTGTTTTTTTTTCTTGAATTAAATGTTAAATTATATTCAAGAAAAAAATATACTTTTTACATCAGCATTCTTTTGAAATTATGCAAAGAAATAGCATAATTTTACAGAGCTATTTAAGAAAAACAGAGCATTGAAAGTGGTTGATAGATTGCTTCGTGCTTCTTATGCTTGAGAGGCAAACCATGCTTGTAGAGCATGGTCATAGCGCCTGTCACCTATTGAGCGAATAACCGATAGTTGATTGCGAACATGCTTATCGATCCGACTTATTAGGGTTGTTGCCGGACGTGGTACTTCTCCATGACGTCTTGCGTTCCGCTCTCGCCAAATAGTGTGAACCATGATTTGGAAGGTGTTCCGCACCAAGAAACTGTGAACACGATTATGATTTGTAGCCGAGATATAATCCACAATCTGTTGCCATTCCTCTGTGAACTGAGTATTGAGAATGTTTTGAGCAAGAGTCTTCAGAATTTCATAGCCGTATGGACAAGAGAAGAAGAGATGGCCTCAAGATTCTATGGCCGCAGCACAGAAAACGCATGACACG